AGTATCAAAAAAGTATAAATATTTCATTCATTTATTCAATATTTTGTCGGGTTTCCTTTTGATTCAATTACAGCTTGAACCCTTCGGGGAATGCTGTCTACTAATTTTTGCAAATAATCACAATCAAGATTTGCCCACTCATCCATTAAATAAGAAATTAATTCATTTGTATTTTTTTGGAGAGCAATAGTAGTTTGATCTTAAATGCTTTTATTGCATGAGTTACTTGTGACTGAGAATGATTGAGTGCACCAGCAATGTCGCAAACGCTTTCACCTGCTTCCCAACACCCAATTATTCTTCCTCGTTCAAAGTCTGTTAATTGAGACATGGTGTTTTAATTGAAATAACAAATTGAAAGCTCAATCTTTTTTTTTAAAAAAAAAAAAACTAGTTTTGGTTAGATATTTCCATACATGTGAGCAAAATATCTGTATTTCGAAAATAATTTCGAAAATTAGGATCTTGGAATTTCGAATTTAACCAATTAAAATTTCCAAGATTCGAAATACAATATCAAAATCGAAATTCGAAATCTAAATTGAAATTCGAAATCTAAATCGAAATTCGAAATCTAAATTGAAATTCGAAATCCAATTCGAAATTTGAAATCCAATTCGAAATTCAATTGTGTCACAGATTTCCATATCTATATTTTAAATCTCATTCATTCTAAAATAAAATTCTTAAATAAAAATTAAGATATGACAAGTAATTTTGATTCTCGAGGTCTTTATTTTCCAAATTCTAAGAATGCTGGAAGACCTCCTAATATTGTTTGGACACATTTTAATAAAGGTACAGAAAGGTATCCTGGCAAGTACGATTCCACATGTATATATTGTAATGACAATGGAACAAAAGGAAGTCCACAGCTAATGCAAGAACATTTAGCAAATAGATGTCCAAATGTACCTGTTGATGTAAAACAAGTTTTTCTTGAAATTATTTTACGCAAACACCAAGATGATAATTTTTTTGATGCAACAGATTCATTAACAACTTCAAATTCTTCAAATTCTTCGAACATTCTTGGAACAAGAAGTTTGTCTAACAATATTCAAGATAGAAAGAAAAGAAAAAATAATAATCAAAAAGAGTTGAATAATTTTTATGATACAACAAACATCACATCTCAAAAACAAAAAATAATTGATCAAGCATTGACAAGAATGTTTGTTTGCTGTGGGTTACCTTTTTCTTTAGTAGAAAACCCCTTTTTTATCGAATTTGTTAATCAATTAAAACCTGCATACAAATTACCTTCTAGATTTAAGTTGTCTAAAGATTTTATTAATGAAGAAGTAGCAAATGTGAATGTAAAAGTTGAATTGGAATTAAAACGGCAAAATAACATTACTTTAGGTAAAGGAAATCATTAATATTACTTATTAATCAATTGGATTTTTTATTTTGAGAATTGTGTAATTGATATTGTTTAAATTATGATTTTCTTTTATATTTAGCAATGGATGGATGGACAGATCCAGCTGGAAGATCTATATATAACTATGTAGCATTGACTTCAAATGGCAAAGAGTATTTGTTAAAGTTAATGGATTATTCTCAATTTTCTCATACAGCTGATTTTTTGGCAAATGAAATAGAACAAACATTGGTTTTAAATAATATTGAAAGATTTTCTGGTGTAGTCACAGATGGAGCTGGAAATGTCAGAGTGGCAAGAGAAATTATCAATAGAAAATACCCAAATATCTTAAATTTGAGATGCATCACGCATTCTATAAATTTAATAACCAAAGATATTGTTGACAAAAAGAAAAACTTTTTGTGGGGTTATAATGTTCTTCACAATTGTTCAAAAGTAATTTCATTCTTTAGTCATTCTCACCAAGGAAATCATTATTTGAAAGAAGCCATTCAAAGGTTTGAAATTTCAGGTGGTGGTTTAAAGACATATATTAAAACAAGATGGTCTTCTGCATGGGATTGTTTAAATTCTGTGAAGAGACTAGAAAATGGTCTGAAATGGGTAAATATTTTTTTGATGTGTTTTATGAACTTTTTAACTTGATATATATATAAATTTGACACTGTTTTTGTTTAAAGATTGTTTCAGAAAATCCTACAGTTATAACAAATGGAGATGTTTTAAGTTTATTACAACAACGCAATTTTTTTTCAGATGTAGAAATTTTATGTGAAGTTCTGAAGCCTATAAAAGAAGCTGTTGTTTCAATGCAAACTAATCATGCTAATTTGGCTGATTGCTTCATTCATATGTGTCATATTGGTGTTGCAATTAAAAAATTATCTTCTGAAAATAATCCAGAATTAAAAATTTATTGCTATAAAGTGTATAATAAACGATTTATTGACTTTGGAGAATATAATGGATATCTACTAGCATATTTTTTACACCCAATGTATCATGGTAAATGTTTTATAATTAATTATTATTTTGTTTAATATTGTTCTTATTTTTATTATTGAATGGAAATAGGTAGAGGACTGAAACGAGGACAATTTAGAAATATTACTACAATTGCAGCCAAACTTTGGCAAGATTTTGGTAATGGAGCAGAATCGTGTTCAGAATTGCTTTGCCAATTAAGAAAATATAAATTACATGAATCACCATATGATAGTCCATATTCTAAACTTGATAATCCAATAAATTGGTGGTCTACATGTGAAGATGATTATAATCACTTACAAAGATTGGCAATCAAATTGTTTTCTGTTACTCCACACACAGCTAGTGCTGAAAGAACTTTTTCTATTTTACGATGGTTTTATGGACAAAGAAGGAGCAGGTTATCTACTACAACAATTGAAAATTTAGCTAAAATCCATTCTTATTATGTTAGTAATGCAAAAAAAGAGTTTAATTATTATGGAAAAGATATCACAGAAAGAGAAACAACTTTGAATTGCATTTTGTCCACAATGAATTTAGATGAAATAGGAACTGAAGAAGAAAATCACTTTTTAAATTCACATTATGAACAAGATGAATCAGATGATATTACTTATTTAGATAATAATGATGAAAATGAAGAGAGTGATATAGATATATTAAAAATTGAAGATATTGTAAATTTAAATGATCCAATTTTTGATACGAGTGAGAATGCTATCATTAATGAAGGAACTCAAGAAAGAAGAGTTGAAACAATGAATTATCTGGCTGAAGATATTGTCCAAGAATTTTTAGCTGAATTTGAAGACACATAATCATAATTGCTTTTGATCAATGTTTTTTAATTATTAAAATTTTAATAAAGTGATTTATTGATTTTGAATTAGACTTTGTTAGATTTTTTATTTTGAAATTTGATTTTGAAATTTTTTATTTTGAATTTTGATTTTGAATTTTGATTTTGATTTTGATTTTGATTTTGATTTAGATTTTGATTTAGATTTTGATTTTGATTTTGATTTAGATTTTGATTTAGATTTTGATTTAGATTTAGATTTCGAATTTGATTTTGATTGAGATTTCGAATTTGATTTTGATTTAGATTTCGAATTTGATTTAGATTTCGATTTCGAATTTCGATTTCGATTTTGATTTCGAATTTTGATTTCGAATTTTGATTTTGATTTTGATTTCGCTAGGGTATTTCGATTTCGAAAATTAATTGTATTTTTTCAAAAGTTTCGAATTTTTCTGATTGAATTTCGCCAACATGTATGGATATTTCAGCTGCAATTACCCTTTAAAGTTTGTTCACACATAATGATAATTGTCTTGCATAAAAAATTCATTACGATTTTTTTTACGTTTTGTATTAATTCTCCACAAATATTTGATCAATAATTATGAAAATTTAAATGTATACATTTGAGAACAAATGAAACAACATTTTCTAAGTTTCCAAGATGTGTTAAAACATTGTATCTTAAAATAGCTCTAAGTGCTACTTTTTCGAAAAATTTTCGAAAAATTTTAATTTGACTTTTAAACATCATAAAATCATCAATAACAATCGGTCCGATGTGATATTTTAGAGTGTTATGGGAATCATTTTATTAAACATTTTTCATTAATACATAACATCGATTTGCTTAGTAAAAAAACGAGTATTTGTATTACCCATTTGTTCGATTATTTTGGCAGATCATCAAGTGAGTCAATACTTTTTGTAGGGGTGTGTATGATTAGACTGTTACCTACTTATCATCAGACCAAATATGATGGTGGTGAGTTTTTGTGTCAGGCTATATTCAAATTTTCATGTTTTCATTGTCAGAAATGGGAAAACCAATCCATAAAAAAATACACTATAGTTGCTGGGATTTCAATTACTTATTAAGTATTTTCCTTGCCCAAGACTGAGGCACTATGTTGCTTTAGGGTGATGTGCATGTTGTGTTTTTCATGTCATGGCACATGTGGACTTTCATGTACCAAAATGACAACAGTATTTATCAACACATTTTTGAGGTCCAATATGTTTTTTATAGCCTGAATTCAGGCTGAAACAATTGTTCATAAGTAGCATTTCTTCCTGGGAAAGTAAACTCATTATTCCCAAAAAAAAAAAAAACACATCAATTTCACTTTCACAATTCATATATTAAAAATTTAAAAAAAAAATTTTATAAAATGACAATCAGAAGACAACAATTTGATGTTGCAATTTCCAACTTAGAAGATATTATTATACTTGAAGATACAGTAAATATAGTGTGATTATGATAGAGTAGAAAGAAGAAATTTATGGGGTCAAAACTCACTTTTGTCTTTGTCTTGTCTGAAGAAGAAGCTTTAAAACATATTAAAGGATGGAATTTTTTTACCAGTTGAGGAGGATCTAATTGCCTCAATTAAAAAAATAACAATGAAGGATTTATTTTCATTATTTAAATAATGAGACCTTCCTTCTTGTGAATTTATTGATTATGATTTAGGAAAATTACCTTGTTTTTCTTTACTTTCTTGAATGTTGAGAGAAGAAAAATCAATTAAATTAAGACAAGGAGGTTTAAATGACTACTTTGATGTGGAGAAAATTGGATTATCTTAATAAAATACCTGAAAATTATAAAGCTGGAGATAAAAAAGAATGTGCTAATTTTTTTTTAAAAAAATTAAACAAGAAATTGTTGGAATATGACAATGTTAGAACAATAGAAGTAGGAAGTGGCAAACAAATGGACACTGAAAATACTTCAGTTGAGAAGCTTAATGGTAATTATATTCATTTATTATTGTTTGCTGATTTCAAAGTCAAAATTAATTATAATTAAAACTATATGAAAATAATACATAGTAATATTAAAAAAAATTTTATTAATTACTAGATGAGATTCATTTCACCAATCCAAGTAAACAAATGTTAATAAGGACATTCAAAATACCTGATGATTTTAATTTGGATCAAGTAGAAAGTTCAGTGATGAGATACTACTATCTAAGGGTTCTACAAATGGGCCAACAGAATCATTTGGCATCTATAGATATTATGGGTTATTGCCATACATGTCAAAACTGTATTTATGTGAAGAAAATTCACAGTGAGTAAATTTATATATTTTATTATTGTAAAACAAAAAATTAACTTATATAATTTATAATTTAGGACAAAAATAGAGCAACTATTATTCATCAGTTGTTGAATGACTACAAGATAATAGCAATAGTTGTGTTGATAATTTGATTGGTGGAATAGAACCTCTGACTAGCCATATTTCTGCCATTCTAGAAAATTATTGGCCTTCTTTGTTCAGGAAATTAACATCCATTGAATTTCCTAAACAACAC